CTACATGGAGGAAGACGAATTCATGGGTGACACCTTTACGATGAAAGTCGGGAATATTCCTTCGACGGAGACGGCAGTTATAGAACTGCGCTACTTCTGCGAGCTTCAAGCACAAGACGTTACCGACGACTCCGGTAACCACACAGTGACGATTTTCGCGCTACCTTCTGTTCTCAATCCACGTTATACGCCATCAAGTATGAAGACCGCCTTTCCGCAGGCAATGTTGTTACTTACTATTTACTACATACCTTTCAGCGTTGTTCATAAAATAAGCATCATTCGTTTGATAAAAGCCAGATTTTAGACTTCTTCCATTATTGTGATAAAAGTTAAGCAGCAAAGTTGTTGTCCTAACGACTGTGTGTCATTGTAGAAAACCATATATAGGTGCCAATCTCTGGCATACATTTCGATTTTGTGTTTGTAGCTTTGGCTTCGAAAGTTAGTTATCTCTTAGCTTCTCTTGTTTTCCTGTGTCCTAGCTTCTGAAAGCCAACGGCAGTTTGGCCCACCAAGTGGAATCCCATTCTGCAAGGTGAACGTACCCTACACATTTTCATTCTCGGCAAGTCTGACATCTCAATGCTCAATAATGAGGGTGACTTCTGCCAAGGACGCCTTTGAATTAAAATATCAGGGAGAAGACAAAAAGGCCGCAAAGGTAATTGTTATGACTTAGAAGACCAACGACTTTTTGAAACATTACTGATATTGTGAAAGTTCTGTGATTTTATGAGAAAAGATTATGGATTTTTTGATTGTTTAAAGCTATCTACTAGCCCTTAATATTTAACGGTTAACACTTATTTAGTAATCAAAGTCACTGTTACGTTTATGTTCAGATGACATTGCAAAGTGAGTTCAAGTTTGACCACGATCTGGAAATGGAGATAATGTTTGCCGATCCGACCAAATTGATGGTCACATACGAGGAAGGTGATTCGAAGGCTGGAAGCGGAATTCTCACCCTCGACAGCCTGACTGTGAACTTCTTGCCAACGTTTAAGAAGGGCACTGAAGCACGCAATGAGATCATTTTTCTTATTGACCGCTCCGGTAAGAAAACTTTTTTTTCTTTCTACACAAAACTTTACACACAGATGCATGCTCTGCTAACTGCAGCCAACCACAATTTTCCAACAGAAGTGACTTCTAATATTTACAAAATCATTTTGTTCAAGAAGCGCTTCTCTTTTTGTCTGAACCACTAACTACTTCCCCAGCGAGTAATCTGATATTTTTCTGACGAAAGGGAAGCAGCAGTTTGTAAACAGTAGATAAGTTTGCATAAGCCCAAAGGTCCCCCAATACATTTCAGATATCCACATATCATAAAATCTGTATTTCAATGCTTCATTAAAGATTGTCTTATTTGTTAAAATGTGCAATGCACAGTTGCAAAAACATTTTGTTTAGTTTCCGTGATGGGTGCAAATTGGCCTTGGTTATTTTGTTTCTTTAGAAGACTCATCTAAATGATATCTGAAGAGAATTTGACTAACGAAATATTTTATGACAAATTATTGCCTCGATTACATTAAAATTATCAATACTGTACATATGTCATCCCCTAATAGCATACATATGTATTGAGGACTCAAAATAGAGGCTTTCAAATGGTTAAATCAGCACCTGACCTGTAAATCCAGCCCACACTAAACAATTTATGCGCAAACTTCAAACATCCTTAATTATGTGTCTATCGGGTAGGTTTGTGAGCGTTTCACAAATAGGTCAGGAATTATGTTACCGTTTGTATTGCATTACTAAGTAAAGCTTCTAATCTATGGATTGTTTAAAATCTCTAGCGGTCTGAGAGAACCCTGAAGTGGAACTCACGACAAAACATAATGGCCATTTACCGTTCCCAAACGCAACTACTTACACGTCATTCTCCATTGGGTCATCTTAAAGTTAACGGCATTTTAATCTTTTCGGTTTTCTACATCTGCAGGAAGCATGGATGGGAATAAAATTCTACAGGCGAAAGAATCCCTTCTTCTGTTTCTCAAGTCGTTGCCCACGGATTGTCATTTCCAGATAGTTGGCTTCGGAAGCACATTCAGCGCACTGTTTGATGAGTGAGTCTTCCTTATCACACAGCCTTCCCCGTAAAATTAAAATGATATGGTTTTCACTCTTTAAGTAGACAAACTCTCCGCTGTTGCAATGGTAAATTGGCTAACTCAATGACCAATGGTCCCGGGTTCGTTTCTCGTGGGTTCCAAATCTTGAAATATTATATAATTAGCTAATGGCGACTTACAAGCCAGAACTTACCTTTTCGCTCTCCCTTTGCTTGGTTGGATCCATTCCACCATGCAAATGCGTGTCTATTGATTTGTCCGCAAGAGGGGCATTTGCCGGGCATCATCTTCTAGCAAAGGTTTTCAGTATTTTTTTT